GATGAATGAGGGAGAGAGTGAGGACTATAGCGCCTCTCTCACTGCAAAGCTCAGCCAGCAGCAAACATAGATTTGGGAACTTTCTCTGCACAGAGGCAAGAGTTGGGTCAGTGCATCACAAGCTCTTACACAGAACTTCAACAGAGCAGAAATTTAGACCCACAATAGGAGCAGAAGAGGAATCTCAACAGGCTTAACTCCATTCAGGAAGTCTGGCCCTGTTCCTTCTTTGGTTTCAAGTTATATTTCCCCAAATCTCCCAACCCACAATAACACCACACATCGCAGAGCCCATAGCTCCATGTCTGAGAAACATGGACTATGCTCTTCTGAGAATGGCAGAGGTCTCCAAGGTACAAGTGTAAAGTCAACATCAAATTCCAGGGCCCAGGTGGTAAACCCAGACTAGAAACATGTTAGTTTTTTGTGGTTCTAAAAAAGAGAAATTCATGGCTGACATTGAGAAGTTAGAAGATTTTAAAAAAGAATCTAGATTTATAGTTTCTCTTGGAAGTTGGGAGATATGACCACAGTGGTCCTATGTCCCCCATCACACCTCCAACCCTGGTGCCATCATGTGGGACTGGTGGCAGGTGCCTTCTTCAACTATGAAGGGCCATGTGTCCTTCAACTGCACCCCTCTTACACTGGCCTCTGCCCTCTCTAATGGTTATCTGCCCACTCTACCTCTGAAACTCTAATGTAGACAAAGAGGAGCAGAGAACAGACACAACATTTTGGAAAAATAGCAGTTTGCCAGGCAGGAGGGGGGGAATAAAAATATAAGTAGGATGAAACTAAAACAGAAAGGACATAAATTCCCTTCATGAATGATCTCCTATATTGTGTTGCCTACTGGGAAGTTTCAGTATCTAAAGACTTGTCTAGTCTGTTTTTGAAATAGTTTATTTTATTTTATTTATTATTGTTACTTTTTTACATGTGCTTAACAGTGAGAGAAAATGTGTGAGAAAGCAAGACACCAGGTCCAGGATATGAACTATGGTTGGCCACGTGGGAAGTCCAGTGCCTCAATTACTCCACCACCTGCTAGTCCAAGACCTGTCTAATCTAATGCTATTTTGATTACAAAATGGTCTCCAGATCCCATCCTTTACTGAAGTGAAATCATAGCTACTAATATGTTAACATCTCAGGGATAAGGAGAATCGATCACATCTTAATGTTTAAGAAACCATATTGTACCTGTTTAATAATAGCAGAAGGACCATAAAAACTCTCCCCTACAATTAAATATCCCCATCAATTATTAACAAATTAAGCACTTCATAAGCTAAGATATATTAAAAGGAGATCATTAATACTTGATTCTACTTTATACATCAGAGATGCATGTAACATTAATGACTCAAAATCTGGGACCAATAGTTAGCATAATGGCTATGTCGCTGGACTCCCATGTAGTCGACTGTGGTTCGAGTCCCGGACCTGGTGGCTTAAACTCACACCGGGCGTGTGTGCGCACATACCCAAGATCCCGAGAGGAGAATGGAGGAGAGGGGATTGCGGTGTGGCCATCCCACCTGGGGGGTGATTTCTCGCTTTCTGTCTGTCTCTGTCTTTCTGGCGAGCGCATGTGCCCTGTAGCAAAAACCTCTAAAAAAAAAAAAAAAAGAAGAAAAAAAAAGAAAAATCTTGACTATTTTCTTGAGTCTTTTTGAAGTGCAGATTGATCATCTCTATTAATAACTTACAAAATAACTTAACTTATAAAATACAAGCTAACTTTTCATTTAGTGTCTTACATTCTTAGAGACAGTCATTACAGATGTTTGCTGGGCTGGACATTCCAGAGAACCAACTGTAATTTCTTCTTTCTCTCTGTCCCAAACTCTTGTGGTCATACCTCATTCCCTTATCTGTCATGGCTGGAGACTAGCCTCCCTTATGTCAGGAAGACAATTGGCAGGAAACATTTGGCAAAATTAGAAAACTCCTAGTCTTTTAAGCCACCATTTGAATCTCATCTCTTTAAGATCTGAAGACCAATGGATCTTCAAATACTAATCCTTAAATTTTAAATGTCTCTGAAGGTGATGTTTTGGTTCTCAGATAATATCTGTTATGGTTCAAATGATGGTTTGTCCCTCAAGATCTCATGCTTTGGAATTTGATGTTGAGTGGTGGTGATGCCTAGTGGGTGATGATTGGATCATGGTGATTGCATTATGGTGGCATCAATCTCATGGATAGATTAATTCTGTCTTGTGAAACCTAGTGAATTCTGGGTGTCATGTGAAGAGGTTAGTTCTCATGAAAGCTGGTTGTTATCAAAGAGGGCCGTGATAAGTTTTCTCTCTACACATACCTGCCATCCTCTGGGCTTGTGTCTGTCATATCATAAGTCAACCCGATGCCTAGAGCATGTCTTCAGACTTTCTAGCCTCCAGAATTGTGAGTTAATAAACTCCTGTTTCTTTATAAACTACACAGTCTCAATTATGTCTGCTACCAACACAAAAGACAGACTCAGACAATACCCTAGTGATGAGTCTACTTTATTACTTGCAGACAGCCAAGAGTATGGCTCCACAGCATTGTGTGAATGTTTAGGGTGGAAACCGGAATGGTACTGGCTGAGGAGATATAAGACCTAAAGATTGCCTTCCTGGTTGTACAAATATGTCCATGGCTGACCTGGTTCTAATGTAATATTTCAGCTTTCAGCTTGACCAGAAAAAGAACTTCTCAAACTCTTACTTTTCTTTATAGCAAATCTATAAACTGAACAAAAACATCATGTTTACCTGTGAGATGTCCTTACTCCTATGTCATGATTTTTTTTCATAGTATCCTCTTAACCCCAAGGTCAGCAAGCACTCCCCTAATACTGGGCTAAGGTAAGTAGGCCTTCCTACCTCTTCTGACTTGAGACAACCTCCCACTCACTTTTTTTTTTTTATTTTAATGAGAGAGGGAGAGAAAAGGGGAGAAAGACAGAGATTTTATGGTTTTTATTTGTTTGTTTGTTTTTTAAAGAGAGATTTTTATTATCAAGTGCATGCACATGCCAGAAAGACAGAGAGAGACAGAAAGTGAGAAATCACCCTTCCGAGGGATGGCCACACAAAAATCCCTTCTTTTCCATTCTACCCTCTGGATTTTGGACACACATACATACATGCCTGGTGTGTTTTAAGCCGCCGGGTCCAGGACTCAAACTGTGGTCAACTATGTGGGAATCCAAAAACGTAACCATTGTACCATATGTTGGTCCCCAGACAAGGTATTTTGACAAATTCTTGCTATGTCGCTATCCTGCCCCAGCCTCCCAATTAGCCAGAACTCCAGGAATGTGCAACTATACCCAGTGTGTTCAGGTTGGTGGGGACTGGAAACTGGAGTCTTTCATACATCCTCCAGACTGCTAAGCAAGAATGCAAAGGAGGAAGAAGACCATGTGATGACAGTAGCAGGAGAGAGGGGAATATGTGGTACTGCCAGGAACCAAGGAAGGAGGTGGCCTCTTGAAGTTGGAGAAAACAGGGAAATGGATTCTCCCCTCGAGATGCAGAAGGAGCCAGCCCTTCTCACACTTTAATCATAATTCCATAAGGCTTATTTCAGACATCTGACCTCTAGAACGGTAAGAGACTCAGTGTGTGCTATTTTAAGTCACTACCATTCAGGTAATATGTTACAGCAGCAATCAGAAACTAATACTGTATGAAAACCAATTACTCTATTCAGCATCCTGGATATCTCAGCAACTCAGGTGGAATGCCATGAGATATTGATTTCCTTATCTTGAGGCACAGCTAGGTTGAACCTGGGGCAAGAGCCATGTGGAGTTTCCCAAAGACCCTCCAGTTATCCAGGATGCCACACAACTATTGTCCTTTTCATGTGATCCTAAATGGTGAAAAAGAATGGAAAACACTGCAAAAATACAAGGCTTTGAACACAAAGGAAATGATATATTTTGCAATGGTTTGAATGCCTCTCCTTTGAATATTGGAGGATTTATGTGGAGAGGGTGAGAGAGACTAGAGTATAGATACATGTACATGGACACACTTGCTTTTGGTCTCTTTCATCATGTGATGTTCTATGCTGCTAGAGAAAGCCCCTTTCAACAGGAAAAGACCCTTACTGGATGTAGCTCCTCAACAACAGACATCCAAAACTGTGAGCTAAATAAATCTCTATTCTTTATAAATCACCCAGTCTGTGGTATTCAGTTACTAGCAACAGATCCTGCTATTTCTAGGGAACTATTACTATTCTGTAGCTCCAGCCCATCACAATCTCACCCAGCCTTCCTCAGTGGCACCTTTTTACCCTTGGGCTTGGAAACTCACTGGCCAACAGGGCTCTCTTGTACAGACCTGATGGGGAGAGAGGGGTCTCCGGCGTCCCACCAGTCTTTCGGGGGGCTGATGTACATGCACCACAGCTCCCAGCTGTACCCGTGGGCTGAGTTCTCGTACCGCTGCACCTCAAAGTTGTCCTGCTTGATGTTGTCAATGGAGGGGAGGATCACTCGCTTCCGGTTCTCCTGGATGCGTGACAGAACTGGCTCAGCCCTGAAACACAGAGAAGTAGAAATAAAACCTCTCCCCTGAGACACACCTCAACTGCCACAGATCTCAAGCCCATGGGAATGAACAGAAGCAACTTGGCTAAAAGGGTGGGCTTTAGACAGGCTAGAACTCATGTGGAAACTGAGATTCCCTGCAGTTCACTGACCTACTCAGGTTGGAGTGTGCCTTTCACCAGTGACATGCTCCATGCAACTCACACCCTTGCCTGTGTTGAATTCATACAGTGATGGCTGCTCTGGCAGGAGAAGCCTGGGATGCTTTATAAATCACCCAGTCTGTGGTATTCAGTTACTAGCAACAGATCCTGCTATTTCTAGGGAACTATTACTATTCTGTAGCTCCAGCCCATCACAATCTCACCCAGCCTTCCTCAGTGGCACCTTTTTACCCTTGGGCTTGGAAACTCACTGGCCAACAGGGCTCTCTTGTACAGACCTGATGGGGAGAGAGGGGTCTCCGGCGTCCCACCAGTCTTTCGGGGGGCTGATGTACATGCACCACAGCTCCCAGCTGTACCCGTGGGCTGAGTTCTCGTACCGCTGCACCTCAAAGTTGTCCTGCTTGATGTTGTCAATGGAGGGGAGGATCACTCGCTTCCGGTTCTCCTGGATGCGTGACAGAACTGGCTCAGCCCTGAAACACAGAGAAGTAGAAATAAAACCTCTCCCCTGAGACACACCTCAACTGCCACAGATCTCAAGCCCATGGGAATGAACAGAAGCAACTTGGCTAAAAGGGTGGGCTTTAGACAGGCTAGAACTCATGTGGAAACTGAGATTCCCTGCAGTTCACTGACCTACTCAGGTTGGAGTGTGCCTTTCACCAGTGACATGCTCCATGCAACTCACACCCTTGCCTGTGTTGAATTCATACAGTGATGGCTGCTCTGGCAGGAGAAGCCTGGGATGAAAATTCAGAACACGGGGTCCCTTCCCCCAGGAAAGTGCCAAGCCTTTCTCACATGGAGAGGCCCATGGCTTTGTATGACCTGCATCACACTATAGTCTCGCACATTGTCGTAAGTTTCTCTCCAGAGCACTAACTGCCACCTCCTGTTTTTTTCTGCTGGTACTCAATTCCCTATCCCAAAATAGGTCACTTCTGCCCTGGCTGGCCTGGTTTTAATAAGCATTTCACTTGCTTCTTTGTGCGTGTGACTATTTCAGCTGTTTTACTTGATTATTTAATTGATTTCTTAAAAGGGATCTAATTGAATTGGTTAGCAATGGAAAGCCAGGAACTAATTAAATGCAAAGGCAGGCAGAATCTTGCCTCTCAGCTCTCCTCTCCCCTTAGGGCTGCAGCAAGCATGAGTCAGAAAACTGGCCCTGGGTTCAAGGTACAGCCCGGCTAGCTCAGGTGGAAGCAGATGGTAACACACCTCCATCTCCGTGTGTCTGGGAGGCAGACATAGGAAGAGATCATTTCCCACATTTGAAAAGGAAAAGATGGCTCTCATAAGCCAGAGCATTAATTTTCCAGCTTAGAACAGAGTGCCGGCTTTGCAAAAGAGTCGAGTGAAAATCCCATTCCTCTGCATTATTTGGAAGAATAATGAGAGTGCCTGGCCTACAACCCATCTCTTTTCATTTGCAGCTATTGAATTACCTGTTGGCTCATCTCATCTTTCTATTTAAAATGAGCAATAAAATATACCCTGGGCCATTTACTGCCTCCAATACTTTTGCACACAGCATATAGGCTGAAGCCAAATAGGACTGACTTTGAATGGCTTCTAGATGTGCTTCAGAGCTCTGCCCCCTCCAAGTCCTTACACATGCCATTTTCCTCTGGGAATGCCCTTTGCCAAAGCCTTACCACCTAGGAGACTTATATTAATGCCATCTCTCTCATGAAGACTTCTTTTCTTTTCCTTTTCTTTTTATTTTCTTCTTTTTCTGCCAGAGCACACATTCACTCACAAAAGAGAGAGAGAGAAAGAGAGAGAGAGAGAGAGTATCGGAAAATGAGCATGTAACCCCCATAAGGGATAGCCATGTTGGAATCCCTTCTGCTCCCTCCTTTTGGGCATGCACACACTTCTGGCATGTTTTTCAAGCTGCTGAGTCCAGGATTTGAACCATGTAAGTGGCCATGTGGGATCCAGCTGCCTTAACCACCACACTACTGGCTGGTCCGGAAAGGCTTTTTCTTCCTTTCATCTCCACCTTATTCAAGGTGAAGTAGCTTGCCCCAGGCTACACAGCTAAGCTAGTAACAGAGCCACATTTCTAACCCAGATGGAAACAGACAAAATGCCCCACCTAGATTCTAGCCCCTCCTGACCACACTGAAGGTCCCGAGAGCCCCCAGGTTTCAGTTCAAGACCTACCAGCCAGCAGTAAACTCCACGTGGGCATCAAAGAAGCCAGTGACCTGGCCAGTGGCCGCCTTCCAGCCCTCGATGCGAGCTCGGATCAGGCCCTCCCTCTTTTGATTGCGCACCACCTTCACAAGCCCGGGGTAGCGTTTGTGGACGTACTCCTCCAGGGGGGCCTTCAGCTCCTCTACAAATAACAAGATGTGAGAAAGTCCATAAACATGCCATTTCCAATTTGCATCCAACTACTGGGATGACTAGAGACCTTCAGGAAATGTGGGGATTGCAATGAGGTTTGCACATTAGAAATTCTAGTAGAAAAGAGACCAAGGCAGTCCGAGAGTCACAAGACATCTCTGATAGACTGCCTACAGCTGGACAGAAACCAGGCTTGACTTTTATATCCCAATTGTTGCAGGTTGGCAGACGCCTTTGAGATTTCATTTCTTTGTGGCCCTTCCAACTCTCTTGGCCAGTACAAGGGTCTTCAAAAAGTTCATGAGAATATTATGGGGGGACCAGCAGTTAGCATAATGGCTATGTCGCTGGACTCCCATGTAGTCGACCGCGGTTCGAGTCCCAGACCTGGTGGCTTAAAACTCACGCCGGGCGCATGTGCGTATGTGCCCAAGATCCTGAGAGGAGAACAGAGGAGAAGGGATTGCGGCGTGGCCATCCCCCCTGGGGGGTGATTTCTCGCTTTCTATCTCTCTGTCTCTGTCTGTCTGGCGAGCGCATGCACCCTACAGCAAAAACCTCTCAAAAAAAAAAAGTTCATGAAAATATTATGGAAAAAAAGCCTATACATTTAATTTTTTTTAATTTTATGATTTCTTACTTACAGTCATTGTACATTTCTACCACACAATATGGTTTTTCAAAGTATGTATGCAGTATGTGACAATAAAATCAAGGATGGGTATTACCAGGTACATCATTTTCAAAGAGAACTTTACATTCTTATGTCTATTAAGACTTTCTTCTTTGAGCCCCTCCTGCCTACCCTCTACTATCCACTTGCCTCTCATATAGCCTCTGTTATCTACACTTGTTCTCCCTACTACTATGTTTAGATCTTTCATTTTCTGCCACAGAGTACAGACATTCAGCATATATTGAGTGGGGATGTAGTGTTTTGTCTTTCATAGTCTGGTTTACTTTACTTTGCATCAAATCTATATTCATCTACTTTGTATCAGATGACAAGGTCTCAGTGTTACTCATTGCTGAGTAGTATTCCACAGAGTATACATGCCACATTTTTTCAACCCAATCTTCAGTTCTTGAGCACTTAGCTTGATTTCATATCTTAGCAATTTTGAATAATGTTTTAGCAAATGTGGATGTGCAAGTGTCTTTCTGACTGTTTTTCTATCCTCTGGCTAAATACCAGATCATATGAGCATTATGTTTGTAGGTTTTTAAGTAACCTCTATATTGTTTTCCACAGTGATTGTGCTAATTTCCAGCAACAGTTTGTTCCCTTTTCACCACAGACTCACAGCACTTGTCTTTCTTCCTTCCTTCTTCTCTTTCTTTCTTTTTTTTTTTTTTTAAATCATAGCCATTTTGACTGGGGTTAAGTGGTATATCATTGTAGTTTTGATTTGCTTTTCTATTATAAGAATTGTTGCCATGTGGGAATCCAGCCACCTTAACCTTCACGCCACCTGCTGACGCTATTATAAGAATTGTTGAGCAGTTGTCCATATGCATTTTGGTCATTCATCTGTCTTCCACAGAAAGTTGTTTATTCGGCTTATTTGATTGTTTTTAATTGGATAATTAATTTGGTTTGTTCATTCAGTTTTTGCAGATAAGCAGCTTGAGTCACCTATATATTTTGATTATTAACACCTTATATGAAGCATAATTTTGTTTGTTCATTCATTTTTTGAAGATGAGCAGCTTGAGTCACCTGTATATTCTGGTTATTAAACACCTTATGTGAAGCATAGCTGGCAAGTATTTTTTCCATTCTGAGGATTGTCTCTTCATTGTTTCCTTTGCTGTGCAGAATCTTTTTAGCTTGATATAATCCCATTCATCTATTTTGGGGATTATAGCCTGGGCTTCAGGGGTCTTATTTTTAAAAATCTTTGCCTACTCCAAGGTCTTCAAGTGTTTCCCCTGTGTTTTCCTCCCAGTAGTTTTATAGTTTGAGGCTTTACATTTTGATCTTTAATCCATTTTGAGTTGACTTTTGTTAATGGTGAGAGATAAGAATCCAGATTCATTTTTCTTCTGGTTCTTCCAGCACCTTTGCTGAAAATACTTTCTTTTCTCCACTGCATTGTCTTGTGCTCTTTGTCAAAGATTAGTTGGATGTATTGTTTGGGTTTTTTTCCTAGGTTCTCTGTTCTGTTCATTGGTCTATGTGTCTGCTTTTGTTCCAGTACCATGGTGTTTCAATGATCACAACTTTGTAATGTGTTTTGAGGTCAGGCAATGAGATAACTCCTGCTTTATTGTTTCTGCATAGTATTGTCTTTGTGATATGGGGCCTTTAATGATACTAGACAACTTTCATGTTTTTATTTTCTATTTCTGTAAAGAATGCCACTGGTTATTTGATTGGAATTGCATTGAACTTGTAAATCAATTTGTGCAGAATTGACATTTGAGTTATATTGTTTCTTCCTATCCAAGAACAAGGAATATCCTTCCATCTTTTCATATCATCTTTAATTTTTTTTCAATATTTCATGGTTTTTCTTGTGGAGAGTTTTTTGTTGTTGTTGTTGTTGTTTGTTTGGGTTTTTTTTTTGTTCTTTTTGGTTAGGTTTGTAACTAAGTATTTATGTGTGTGTGTGTGATTCTTGTAAATGGGATTGCTTTCTTCAATTCTGCCTCAGTCTGTTCACTGTTGAGGTATAAAAACACTAAAAATTTCTGTATATTGATTTTGTATTCTGCCACTTCACTGTATTTATTTATCATTTCTATGAGTTTTATTTTTCTTTTTGTGTGCACGTGTGAACTTTTTCAGATTTTCTATGCATATAATAATGTCATCTATAAATAGGAAAAATTTCACTACTTATTTTCCTGTTCAAATGTCTTTTATTTTGCTCTCTTGTCTGACTGCATTGGTAAGAACTTTCAGTACTAAGTTGAAAAGGAGAGGAGAAAGTGGACAACCCTTTCTGGAAGTTGAAATTTTTTTCCCCATTCAGTATGATGATGACAATGGGTTTGTAAAATATGGCTTTTATTGTGTTGAGAAATGTCCCTTCTCTATATATTTTGCTGAGAGTCTTGATCATGAAGAGATATTGCATTTTATCAAATGCTTTTCTGCATTTGATATGATTATATGGTTTTTGTATTTCTGTTAATGTAATGTGTTACATTTATTGTTTTGCATATGTTGAACCATCTTTGCTTCTTTCAGATAAAGCCTATCTGGTCATGCTGTATACTCTTTTTAATGTGCTATTGGATTCAATTTACTAGTATCTTGCTGAGAATTTTTGGCCTGTAGTTTTCAAGGATATCAGTCTATCATTTTTTTTTTATTATTATGTCCTTGTCTGCTTTTGGTATCAAGATGATAGAGGCTTCATAGAATAGATTTGGAAGGGTTCCTTCCTTTTGGATCATCATAAATAGTTTGAGAGAATTAGGGTTAACTCTAAAAATTTTGTAGAATTCAGAAGTGAAGTCATCGGGACTTGAGCTTTCCCTTGTTGGGAGACTATTTAATACTGATTCAAACTTTTGGCTTGTTACTGTCTTTTCAGGCTTTCTATTTCTTCCTGGTTCAATCTAGGTAAATTGTATTGTGGAAGGACACACATTAGATCTTGCACATGAGCAACTGTTCATCTATTTTTGTTCCCTTACCCTAACATGGCTATCTACTTCTGTAAACCTGCTTGCTCTTCCCATGAGAAAATAGCTTGTGCTAGCCATACAAAAAACCACATTTGGGATGCCATTTGGCACCTGTTACTGTCTTTGCTAAGTAGCCCAAAACCCTTTTGTTTAGATGTTTCTTGGCAATGAAACTAACAATCACCAGACCCCCACCCAGAGCCATGGAGACCATTAAACAAAGGTCTAGAGAGTGCCCTCAGAAATAATTAACCTGCTTGCATGGAAACCCCACTCCCTTTCCTGACATTTTGGACTTTCTGCACCCTTAGTAACTGACCCCCTATAAAAAGACTGCTCAATCTTCAGTCAGGACTGTAGTTCTGACTCTTAGCCCCCAGAACCTCATGTTATAGTCACTGGCCAACTAATAAAGACTCCCTTTAACCTTAATCTGGCTTTGGTGGTCATTCATTCAGTGGCACTCTACAATAGTATGTGTCTAGAAATTTGTCCAACTAATCTAAGTTTTCTTGTTTGTCGGCATGTAGTCACTCATAGTATTTTCTTATGATCTTTTATATTTCTGATTTATCTGTTATAATATTACATGTTTCACCACTAATTTTATCTAGTTCCAAAATAAACCTATACTTTAATTCCATTTTCCACAAACGTTTTAAAAACTCTTTATATTTCTGCCTTCATATTGCCCCCTGGGTCCTATTTATCAACCTGTCTCTGTGGGTTTTCTAGTTTGCACACAGACTGGTTCTCAAAGTATGTGTCTGGGGTGGTCTAGAAACATAGTCATGCACCAGATGCAATGTGGAGACCAGAGCTTACACTGGTCTTAGGTTGCAAAAGAAGTCTTTACCCAATAGTAGTAATGCTACCTTGGAACCAGCTACAGTAGTGAAGGCAGGATGGAGCTTATCTGCAAGGCTGGAGACACATGGAACTCTCAGGTCCAGAATCTGGGTGAACCTGAATCACAGCAAGTGTGTGCATACACATGCATGCACAATCCAGGCAGGCTGGAAGCATGACAAAATCTTGTCAAGGTGCCTGTCTCTCTCTTTCTCATGACAGAAATGAATAAACTTAAAAAAAAAAAAAAGCTACCTTCATGGTAGAGTTAATGCTACCAGTGATTGAAATGGAATGTTCTCTCTTATTCAACAAGCAGGTGGTAAAGTGCTTTATTTCTATGATCTAATTTAATCCTTACAGCAACACTAGGAGGTTGCTAGATTAATTCCATTAATTAACTGGATTAATTCCATTTTGCAAATTAAGACACAATATTAGGGAGGCTAACCTACCTCAAGGTCACATTGCTAGTAACAGCTGAAATGCAACCCACCTATG